TGTGGATACTAACTTCTGATTTGATTAAAGAAATTTCTCTGTCACATAAAGGTGGTGAAAGTATTGGACAAGGATGCAGTTACTGAGGCTTTGATCTACCTGTTGTAAATAATGACAGTGAACAAAACTAACCAACCAAACCTAATCTAACTTGACTAAAATATATTGTAAGATCATTAAGTTAGGTTAGGTATGTTAGATTAGGTTTAGTTAGTTTGTTTGTTCTGTCTCGTCATTATTCATGGCTTAGTGATATATTGTCCCCTTGAGCTACATCACAGTCTTAGAAAACCTCCACTAAAACACAATATTGTATTCCTCTTAAACCAAAAATATGTTGCACTAATAAATCACAATAACATAACAAAATTTCTCTCAGTAAATAATTCCTCAAAAACGAACATTACTGCTGATCTTATGCTGTTACACCTTTTATAAATGAGTGCATAGTTAATTGTCTTTTCTGATAATTTTTCATTTTTCCCCACAAAAGCATTTACCTTGTCTGTGTTTAGTGAAATGTCAAAATATATATTGAAATTAATTACAGTACCTAAGCTGGATTCGAGGACCAATGCCTGATATCTACAGCTTGGAGGTGATGAGTATGGTGGCAATGGTGATGAATGGCTGGTGGTGATGAAGGTTTAATGAGCTGGTGAGAGTAGTGGTGATGGCAAAAGATGGTGAAGTATGGTAGATAATGGTGATGGTTAATGGTGGTATATAATAGTGTTGGTGAAGGATGGTACATGAAGGTGGTGGAGTAATATGATAGATGATGATGGTGACAGTGAAATATGGCAATGGAAGTGGCATTGAATGATGGCAGATAATGGTGGAGGTATATGATGATGTTGATGATAAATGGTGGTTATGATGGTGATGGTGGTAAATGGTTGTTATGATAGTACAGTAGAGGGTGGTGGTGATGGTGGTGGTAGATGATAATGGTGGTGGTAGATGATGATGATGGTGGTAGATGATGATGGTGATGGTGGTGGTGGTGGTAGATAGATGATGGTGGAAGATGATAGTGGTGGTGATGATTGTGGTAGTAGTAGCTAAAGGTGAAGGTAGTGGTGGTATCAACAGGTCACATACACTGAGACATGAGACCCGGCCTTCAGAAGTGACCACAGTGGAAACAATGATCAAGAAACAAGACAGATGGCTAAAGAAATCAAGCACTAAAGAATGGTAATTTATTTCATTATAAAAACCTTATGAGAAATTAATCCCCTAGGAGTGGGGAAGAGAATTCATGTGTATAAAAGCTTATGGGAGAATAATATACCTTTCCAGAGTGAAGAATACAAACAACAAATGATACTTGTAGCCCATAGATGTTCCTCACTCATACCTTTGACTTTTAAGATTGGTAATGAATTCTGGTACTGCATTGCCTTTGTTTGTGTTCATGGATTGATTCAAGGTTGTTGTATTTTCTCGTGAGTGTTGGTGTTGTGGTGGTGGTGGTGGCAATGGTGATGACAGTTGTGGCTAGTGACTGTGGAGGATAGTACAGCACATTACAGTTTATTTCGGATTTCTGTAATGGTTGTCATTAGTATGTGTAGTTACTAGTGATGGTGGTGGTGAAGGGATGCCTTAACATCTGCGATAACAAAAATTATTCACTGGAATGTTATCAATACTTTAAAACAGTTAACATTTGATGTATGACTTTTGGTCAATAACACCAGAAAAAAAATTAACAAGGAGACACACTATGTGTTACCCTGAGGGGGAACAAGTGAGCTGGTGTGCTGCCATCATTAACACACATCATCAATAAGGCTTCTAAAACAAGATATTTTTTTTTCCATTACATATTCCAATTAAGTAACACTGCCCTTTTGTTTTCATAATTTATCTTCACTGAACAGCAATAGTGTTTGCAAATTTATGAAAAGCTGAATGTGGCTGAGTATGATGGCATTCACCAAATAAATTCCATGGCCCTCATATTCACACCTGTTCAGAATCCTACACATTTATGTTTTAAGACCTACAATAGTGGATAGTAACCAATGTTCTTTTTAACTAGATGTCATTAACCAATCATATATATATCAACATATTATAACAAGAACCAAAAATCTTTATGCCTACAAAACTCTCAATAAGTATTAAAGCCATTATCACCTATAAGACTTGTGTTGCAATGTTATCTTAAAAATGCAAATTAGAGATTCATGAAGTAAATGCTAGATTTTTTATGCTTGAATATATCAAGAAGTAATTCAGTGATTAAAGACCGTATGTAGTTTTGAGTGAATCTACACTGACTGACATGAAGGGAGTGACAGTGTGTGTGTGCATGCATGTGTATATGAGTGTGTAGCATTATTGATGAGTGGCCGAGTTTCACTTAATGAAATAAAGCCAACAGCATTATACTCAGTCAACTTTAAGGCCTAATTATAAATTTTCCCTTGAGGTTCTGAACTTTTGTTAACTTTGGAGTTTTGATAGACTCAGTGTGATGATAAATATGAGTTACATCTAAATTTCATCTGCAACCAATGTTTCAAAACAAAGATCTTACACAATTATATTAAAATATATTACAGGTACTGGTAATATCATACTTTAACTGTTGTTGTAACTTTTGACAGGGTTTGACAGGGTTATTAAGTACCAATGCTAAGTCAAAGTTTCTAGGACATAAAACTTCCAAAAAACTGTGTTGAATTATTATAAACTGCAATTAGAAGTATGCCCTCTTGTCACATCCACTTATGCCATTCTAAGTTCTCCTTACTGTTCTGTCAAGTATCAGTGTTCACATTATTCAAAGATGCAAGAGGCAAGAAGTCATTTTAATCAAGAAACAAGAGTAAATAAAGTACAATTTCATATCTATCACACCTACACACAAGGCCTTGGTTGATCTTAGTGTTCACCTGCCAGCATGCCTGGAAAGCCCATTATGATATATTCTACAATTTCTTTAGCAAACAAAAAATTAGTTCGGCCAAAATAGCAGAAAGGCAAAATGGCCAGTATTCTCCAAACAAGTTCAAGTACAGTGTTCCAATTATCAACAGTTAGGAAAAGAAGTGAAGTGTAGTGTAGAGGGGCCACTATGGCATTATTTAATAGCAGGTTGTGAAACTGATATGGTCTCACATGTCTGTAGCAACTGAAGCTCTTCAACATTTTCAAATGAATATCCTAACACTTTAAACTATTTGCAGTTAATGGAGGTGTTGCATGAAGCAATAAGGAAGAGGTAATTGTGTGGTTTCAGCATACTCTTATCATCTCTTGTGGAAGTGAAATTTAATACTCAAGTCAGCTAGTGTGACAAAATGGTGACAACTTTCAAATGACATTCTCTTCATTACCTACAGAGGCCATGACTTCAGAATCCTCATCACAAATGATATCGTCTAGACTTCACGCCTAACAGACTAGATGTGGTGTCTTCTTAAGCATAAATCACACCATGTGATATATATTCTAAGTTTTAAATTTCACACCAATTACATTCAAAACAACTCGAGTATATATATGCTGTGGCATTTGGGAATGTACACAAAAAATGCATACAAGAGATTTATCACTTCTCAAGACCATTCCAATTTTTTTGAAATGTCCTTGGCAACTATCAAGTAATTCCTCATTCAGTCATGTCACCTGCCTACAACCAGGGTACAGTAATGGTGTACAGGAGTGTCTTAATGCTATTATGTAGAATCTAAGAGCATCTGTGAGTGAGATTGCAGAGTTTAATAAGATTCAAGTGAAAGGCAAGAACTAAGACTTCGCTCGACCAAGTTATTACCTGTACAGTATCATGATAAACATGCTAATGAAATAATTACCATTATTAACATGATAATTAACTTATTAACATGATCATGAACTTATCACCATTATTAACATAACCATGAGCTCTCAACATAGATAGTCATGAGGCCAAAGCACTGAATAATAAGCGAATAACATATCATAATAGCACTGATGGTACCGGTAACAAATAAGGGCGAGTTATACCACTAAATAATGCTCAATGAAGTCAGCTGGTCAGGTATATTTCAGCTGGCCCTTGATTGCTACATTACTGATATTTGCACAAACAGAGCACAAACACTAATGTGCTTAGTATAAAAGAAAAAACTATGAGGGCAGGAAATAAGGTGACCAAAACTAAACATCGGCAACACAGAGTTTGAGCCTCCGTGGTAACCAGCAGCACTGTGTACTGAACGGTACAATAAAATATACAAGTATCTGATTGTAGAGATAGATATATATATATATATATACATATATATATATATATATATATATATATATATATATATATATATATATATATATATATATATATATATATATATATATATATATATATATATATATATATATATATATATATATTATATTAAAGTGGTAATTGGTAGAAACATGGCCAACAAATGAGAATCTAATATGAACTCTATAAATCATTCTGAATACTCCAAGTGTTCACTTTTGTAAACACTATATTAATGTATAAATTTAGAGAGAAATGATCATTCTGGGTGCAAGAGAAACTATTCATAAGGTTTATGCAGAGGACACACCTTATGTGATGAATGACAACATACTGCCAACACTTGCTTTTGAGGTCAGCTATATATTTAAATCTATTCAATATGTCTAAACAGTAGCGTTTACTTTTTCAGTACTTATACAGAATGTGCGTCATCAACGCCAAAGAAAACACACAACTCAGATGGCAGGATATTACTTGGAATGCACAAACCAGGTTCAATGGATCTCATGGATACAAACCTCACAGCTCACTATTACTTCTTTGTGGTATCTCCCTTAACAAGCAAATAAAATATATATATATATATATATATATATATATATATATATATATATATATATATATATATATATATATATATATATATATATATATATATATATATATATATATATATATATATATACACACACTTCTTTTCTATAATCAGTTCCTTAACTTTTTTTTTTAATTCCTGGTACTGTATCTACCTACAGTATGCCTTGATGGGTGACACATTTGGCAACTCTGACTTAATTACTCTTCATTTCACTTCAGCCACACTTAGTTGAAAGAGGGCTTATAGGAGCGACAATAAAACCCTCTTTATTATCTATACTATTAGAAAGACAAGCCAATAGTTGAACTGCCTGTACTAGTAGAAAAGTTATCGAGAACAAATCAATGTGGTAAATAATTTAAATATCCTTATTCAACAATCGTTCCTTCTAGGACCCTAACATGTTATTACTGTATCTATTTACATTCTTACTAGTGACCTCAACCAGTAAGAAAATTTTAAGATTAAGGTCAATACATTAAGCACCTCAATATTAGCAAGTACTTGTATCTTGAGTAGCTGTTAGTTGTGTGAGCCATGTTTGTTATGTGTGTGATTCTCGATGTTCTGTGTGGCTGTATCATATTTTCAGTGCTCTGTATAATTGGCAGTGGAGAACAAGTGGAGAACAGTGACCCTGGCTATGTGCAGTGTGATATGATCAGTGAGTGTGAAGATAATAAAATGTACTTTTGACAAAAATGAAGTGAACTGTCTACAGATATGACCAAGCTGAATGGACGTGAACAAGGCATTGCTACACATTATATATTAACATTACAATTTTTAACCTTACAATATGTTTTTTCATCATCATCTTACCTCTGTTTGTATTTTTACTTTTCAACAATACATAATACTTTGAAACTTCCCTCAGATTAAGAACTCTTAAAAGAAAATCTATAAGCCACAGTAGCAATCCCTTTATTTTGAGTTAAAACTGTTTCCTTTCATAGGTTTACTTGATATTGATTAAATTATAAGATTAGATAATGATCATTGGCCTTATAAAATGGTTCTCTATGGTTGGGTGGTTTAACAGGTCTTCTTTCCTATTACTGTACATTAACTGATGGTGTCCCCCCAAAAAAAATCACCACGTAATAAATTTTGTCTTAACATGCAACACATCATTGTAGGCTTTTCTTTTACATTCATACTATGTAAATACAGAAATATGGAAGTAAAAGAAGAAGAAAAAATCTGAGAGTTTTTATCATTCATCATTATCATGTTGTACGAGTTTCAGAATCTTAGGAAATGTTTGGTGACTGAAGGGGCCTGAAAAGGTCTGGTATCCTGGTGCAGTATCTCTGGGCACCACGAGGGCTACCAAATTAACATATGGGAATACAGGAAAATAGGATTTTAGAAAAAGATAAGTAGGAGAAGATAATGGAGGAAGAAGGAGAAGATAATGGAGGAAGAGGAAAGGATAATGGAGCAAGAGAGGAAAAAGAGGGAAAAAAGAGGAGAGGAAAAAGAGAGAAAGCTAAGACAAGTGCCATTTGATATAACTTTTGTATATTTTTTTGGTAGGAAAATTTCGGAGTCAATAAAAAAATTTTGTCACCAGGAAGCGAGACTTTTTTCAGGCCCCAGTGACTGATATAACCAATGAATGGCAGATTGAAGAAGTAGTGACAGTGTATTTTGGGGGCCACACCGCTGACCCGAGGAACCTGTTGATTAGGTTACAATGGACCAGTACAGGTGGCACTGTACCAAGTACAAGTGGCACTGTACCATGTACAAGTGGCACTGTACCTGATACAAATGGCACTGTACCTGATACAGGTGGCACTGTACCAAGTACAAGTGGCACTATCAGTCACAAGTAGCACTATACATGGTACAAGTGGAACTGTACCTGGTATAAGTGGCACTGCACCTGGTACAAATGGCACTGTACCAAGGACTAGTGGCAGTGTACCAGGCACAGGTGGCACTACCAGGCACAAGTAACACTGTACCAGGAACAAGTGGCATAGTATCAGGCACACATAGCACTGTACTAGGCACAAGTGGCACTGTTTACTGAGCAGGTGCCAATATACCACATACAAATACCACTGTATGATGAAGGAGTGCCACACAACCATGAACAAGAACCATTGTATAATGTACAAGTACCACTGTACAAACATAGTGACTTTGTACCAGACAAACAGAACTGTACTTTGCACAATTGGCACTGTAAAAAACACAAGTGGCATTACACTATGCACTGTTTAATATCCAAATTTGTGAGAAGAGCCAAAAGAGAAGAGTGGAGGATATACCCATGAGCGGTGTGGCTGGGCTCACTGTACTGACTCATCTCTCTCACACAAGTTGACCTTCAACCATCACAGTGTTCACACACACTGTCATTTATTGTGACATCATCATGCACCTCTTGATCTGTTACACTCTTGCAATGACTGCTTAGCAGCTGGGGTGGAAGGAATATTACCTGCCGACAGGCAGAACAATGAATTACAGGCAAGTCTTACAAAACCTATATATATACCTGGCAGTGGAATAACAGTGAGAGTTGCCCACTACTCGTCACAGGGGTCAAACAAGCCTGGAGGTGTGCACGTGTGTGTCACCGAATGGAATATATATATATGTGCATGTGCCAGTGTCAGGTGGGGTGCTGGCAAGGAGTGTCACTTGGCTGACCACCACCTCTGACACTACACACTACATCATATGAGTGAAGAACTGTGCCACTAACAATACACCTGCTACTGTCACCATCCTCCCACACCTCCACGGCCTGTCTCACCCCATCCAGTCCCAGGGAACTTAACCTTAAACCATAACATTATTTCACATCAATACAATAAAAGCAATTTTATTTTTGCAATTAAAACTAGTAATAATAATAATCTAGGTTTTTGCAGTGTTCCCTGAGTCTCTGGTCTGCCTGCCTCACCATTTACAGGTTGCCCAGCCACACTTCCACAGCCATCGCCACGCACCACACTCCATCACCTGTTCAGTGAGATATAGAGAGAAGGCCTATCACATATGGGACTTGGCCCTGGAAATGCTGCAGCACTCTTACAATACACTGTGTGAGCCATAACTGGTGACTGTAAGCAGTGCATGGCAGTGTGTGGCAGAGCTGCACTGCTGCCAGACACCATAGCACTGGTCCTTGGGACCCCAGGCACTGGTGATTCCTTCATCCACCACTACAACAGCTGGTCCCAACTGCTCTGGTTCATGCGTGCACCGGTCCCACCACGGGTGAGCCCGTTAGCACGTCTCCCTGCCCTAACTACATGCATTGTGCACAAAGCAGGACTGCACCTGGCTGCCCTCACACACCCAAGTGCACATGCATGCTGGCAGTTGGTCATGCACAGGAGTGAGCCTGAACACTAGCTCACCACCACTGAGCACCAAGACACCTGCTGGCTTCAGCGCTGTATCACGCGTCACACTATCACATCCCAAGGGATATAACAACTTTCATTACAACAAGTACATCTTAAGTGATATTATAAAGTATGTTTGAAAGACTAAGTAAAAGACTTGGTGGTCATATTTCCCCACTCTTTGTCCTTTGTTCTGAGGGTCTACTAGCACTTGTATATAAGCTGGAATTTTCTATCACGTCGTCACTATATAAGGGCGGAAGGTCATGGTCTGCAGTTGGACTACAGGGAGACTGTGAGGACTGTCCATAAGTATGTGGAAGGCCCCCTTGCACTCCTAAGCTACCCATATGAGCTCCTTGGGAGCCACCTGGACCTCCAAGATGACTGGAACTGGGACTGTGAGATGAGGGTCCACACGGCACTGACACCATGGTAATGTCTGCCAGGGTGTTGGTTGGGCAGTAGGGCAAGGTGATACTGGAATCGTGTGAAGGAGACGGGGAGCTGGTCCCCAACCCTCCCTGCTGCAGACCTCCCCGCCGACCTCCCTCTTGTTGGGAGGCGTGAGGCGCCCGCTCGTATTTGGCTGAAGTGAATGGAGCCAAACAATTGGCCACCAGCGGGGATTTCTGAAAGCCTCCCGTTTTCCGCCCCCTTCTAGGAGACCCCCGGCCGTCGTCCCCACATCCCCACCCTGGCAGCGATGATGAAGATGATGATGATGACGATGATGCGGACACTGCCGGGTGGTGTGGGGATCGGGCGTCGAGGGGAGCTGAGTGTCGATGGTGGTGGTGTGCTCCCATATGTGCCACCCCACACTCAGTCTGCGTAGGAAATACTGAAACAGAGCACGACCGATGAGGGCCGTCGCATTCTAAATCAAAGAGGGTTTTGTTGGCTGGTGGCTTGATGTACTCCCTCATTATCTCTGCCTCCTGAAAAACAATATAATACGTAAGTAGAGTGAGATTCATCATCATGTATTATGCCACTAATTCAGTAATGTTACTTTCATCATAATTATTACATATCATTCCTAGCTGACACAAAATGCCTCTCTTCCAGTTAAGGTGACCAGATTTCCTGGAGCTAAGAGTGGAACATCTCTTGAATAAGAATAAGAATAATAATAAGAATAATAATAATATAAATATTTAGCTAACAACATAAGTGGTACATATCTTGGGTAATATTATGAGATGTACTGTACTACATAACTTACAACTTAGGTCTTAGGATGGCACAAAAATCTCGTGCTTTTGTTTTAACTCTTGTAGTTTTCACTAGATGAGATCTTGTTTAGTATCTGGAGTGGATTACAGTTTTGTAGAACTCCAGACAAGGTTGACTGATATTTATTTTAGTTACCATTAAGGCTTTGAGGATTTTTTTTTCATATCTTATTCATTTGAGAGAAAGCGCGTTCAGTAAAAGAATTAGTTCCAGGAAGACAGAGTATGAACTGAAACCAATTCTAACATGTATTGATGGCTGATATGGCTGAATTGTCCTACCCAGTTGGTAATCTGGATTCATTCCACTCTTATGCGTCCACATCATTAATGTAAGGTAGTTTGCAATACACTTAAACTTATCAAATAGCTCAGTATCAAAAAATTGTATTTCAGCCACAAAATCCAATGATTTTTTCAACATGTGACGACTTAGGAACTTGCTTTAATGAGGCCCACTGCATATTCTCAAGGTTTTGCAAGTAACCCGACCATTGATCCAACTACAGTACTGTACTGAGAACACGTGTCATAATGCTCTATTGTACTACTATTTTCTTTACAGCCGACGAATCATTCAATCCATCTTGTTCAAGTTTGTTCACTAGTTCCCTGACAGAGAGTGGCAAAAGCACACTTGCTTACTGTGACTGCAGATTTTCCTTTAATCATAAACTGCTCTCAATACTTCCACAGCTGAAATTTTTTCACCTTCATTCTTTGAAATAATTTGGTGAATGGTGGCTGCTTGACAATACAGAAAGTCAAGCCAAATTTCTGCACATGGGTTTTCAGAAAGTATGATCTTAGACCAGGAAACAACTTAAGTATTCTTTCAACTGCAGGCACTAATGCCAACTACCTTGTTTTACTGTACCCCAGTAGCTGCTTACATTCGATGTCCACAAAAATCACAAAACTCATTCAGTTCTTCTACTTGAGCAGTATGCTGTACTGTAGATGTAGAAATAAGAATATATTTTGACACCCACTGTTTCCACATCGATTGACAAACAGTCCGAGGCAGACTGAACAGTATTGTGGGCACCATGTACAATGCTAAAGTCACTCACACTGTACAGTACATCACTTTCAGTAGTTTTTGTAATAAGAGAGTACAGTATTTAGACTAAAGGTGTGCATTAAATGTACACTTTCTTTTAGACATTTTTGCGATCACTTCCTTCTCTTGTACACACACCACTGCCATCCACAGTAAGCCATTTCCTGCTATTACTGCATGGTGGTTGGAGTCAAGAATCAACACTAGCTCATCTACAAGTATCATCTAACATGACCCAAATATTTTGTGCCTCATTCCTACCATTTCACACAATGTAGCAACACCCATCACCAGCATATCCATCCCCAGAAATCAATTGACATTAAAGTTGCCTGTCATCTGTGCACCTCACTGCTTCCTCACAAATTATCATCCAGTTTATAACTTAACATATCTTTAAAAATTAATGAATGTGCTCTACTTGACCTATTGCTTCCTCTTGTGAAGCTAAAATAGAGTGACAATCTCAATTCAGTCTGTCCACAGAAAGCTTCACTCAACACAAAAATCTTTGAATAAGATTTATAATGATAAATGTTAATCATCGAATGTTAACTGATGACATTGATTACCTCTAACTTGTGGGATATGAAGCCGCACATGTTTTTACTTCAGTCTTATCTATCAGAATGTCTCCAAAGCACTGCACTTAAGAGCATTAATCACATTAGGTCAACAATCATTCTGCGACCCCAAGATGTCTTAGGAACAATGAGAAGCCTTGTGTCATCACCTCTGAATACAGTATTTGAGAGACAAAGTTCCATAGGATCTGTAACTCTATGTGGTGTCATTCCTCATCTTCCACTTAAGATCTTTCTTAATCACTAGAGAAGCTCAGGAATCATTGTTTCAAATTTTCTAGAAGTGTGAGAGTTTACCTCCATTATGGGAACCTGATTTAATTACTTTAAGTCACTTACTCATTGATAATACTACTTTTGTAATGTTTGTTTTTCTTATCTTCCACAGAGTGTATAGACATGTATTGTGATCAAGGATATTAAATACATTTTAAAATGACAAGTGTCTATTCCTCTGATCTAAAAACATTGATGGCACAGTGAGTAGGAAAATATCTATGCTGAGAAGGATACATTTAGTCCAATACACACAAAAGAGAGTCAAAATGCAGCTGCCTTGCACCATGCAGGGCTGCCCACACGAGACCCCAGAGTTGTCTGAGACGGGGGCCATCCAGGTGCTTGAGATGCACCAGGCACTTGAGATGCACCAGGCAAATGTACACCCACCAGAGACGACCGCCACTGTGCCAGTTGCAACCATGACAGGAGGACCCAAACCTCAGAAGGTCACGCAATCCGAGCGCACTGCTGGCCTGACTGAGGAGGACTGGGTCTATTTTGTGGACCGCTGGGCCACCTACAAGACCGCCACTGGCCTGACTGGGGACATGGTTGCAGTGTAGCTCCTAGAGTGCTGTGAGGAAGCTCTTTGCAGAGACCTCCATTGAAACCTGTGGGGGAGGGCTCTGCACCAAAGATGAGACCCACTTCCTTTGTGAAATAAGAAACTGACAGTGAGAGAAAATAACAGGATGGTGGACAGGGTGCAACTGGGCCATCTGGTACAGAATGATGGCGAGCAGGTGCGACATTCTGCTGCAAATGACAAGGGGCAGGCATCTGTCTGTAGCTATAGAGTGAAGTATACCAAGATAGGGTGCGACACCTACATTAGCTACGCAGACGAAGTCATCCGAGATCAAATCACAAAAGGCCTGCTCAATGTGGATATCCAGAAGGACCTACTTAGTCACCCAGAAAACAAAACCATGGACCTCGATGCTATTTTGACGTTTGTTAAAGCCAAGGAGTTAGGCCTGAGATCACAGGGTCCCCTGTCTGACCACACGGCGGGACTCCACCCCAAGCTATTGGAATTCCACAACAGAAGCAATTTGGGGTGGCAGACGTCAGCCCAACCTTGAAATGTGCCTACTGTGGAAAGACGGGACATGGGGTTAGGGCCAAGATGCCTGTTGTGTGTCAAGTTTGGCCATTTCCAGTCAGTTTGCCAGATGGGCCAGCTCAAGCCAGATGGGACAATGGTGAACAACTACGGCAATGATGGCCTTTCACCATGAAGCAGTCCAGCAGCAGGCGCCTCGTAGTCGACCATCAACTATGGCACGAAGCCATGGGCTGGGCCTGTCGGCAGGCACCGCAACAACCTAACTAAGAGTTGGGCCTACGGCTCAGGAGTAGCCGCTTGAAACTGGCCAGTGATGTTAGATCCTACCCAAACACAGGAACCCAGACCACCATTGCTGGTCCATTCCTCCTGTCACTCCTGGGGTTACAACTGAGCGATCTGCTGCCGGTCAGCCAGACCATCTGCACGGTGGCGAACAGCCAAATGAATCTGATGGGTGGGGTCTTCATTAATATTACAGGACATGTCAAAGGTGGCCACGTTAGATCCACCAAGCAATTGTGCTACATTGCCAAGGACTGCTCAGGCTTATTCCTCCATCCACAGGCTTGTTCAGGTCTTGGCATTTCGGAGAACTTTCAGGCAATTGGAGAGTTTCCACAGAAGCCCAGGGGAAACGGGACAGCGGCAGCTGGCATAAAAACGACGGACAGCACCGGCGATAGCCAGACTACCAAGGAGGTACAATGCGAGTGCCCAAGGAGAGTACAACCACGTCCAGTACTGAGTACACTTCCATTCGAGCCAGTCCTTGAAAACCTCAACAAGCTCCAGCAAGGGATAATGGATACGTACGTATGCCTCTAGTGCATTCAATGTATGTGAGCACCAACAACTACAATGATGCATGGAGAGCCATTGTAGATCTTCCTCAGGCCGGACACAAGGCCAATAGTGGTATACACACACCGATACCAGTCCCGTTGCACTGGCAGGAGGAGGTCAAACGAGGCCTGAATCGGGACGTAAGGATCCAAGTCCTGGAGGAAGTGTCACCAGGGACCCCAACCAAATGGTGCCACCAGATGGTAATTGTGGCAAAAAAGGATGGGTCACCGCGAAGGATGGTCAATTTACAAGCTCTCAACCAGGAGTCAGTGAGACAAACTCACCACACACCACCATCCTTCCACCAGGAGATCTCTGTGCCAACTAACACCAAGAAGATTGATCTGGATGCATGGAATGGATACCACAGTGTGAGGCTACACGAGAACATTTGAGACTACTGTACACTACATAAATCACACCCTGGGATCGTTACCGGTACATGATCACCCGACAGGGCTACCTAACAGCAGGAAATGGATACACTCATAGATTCGAGTTCATCACAAGTGACGTACCATACAAGGTAAAGTGCAATGATGACTCTCTCCTATGGACCAACTCCATCAAGCAGTGTTTTTTTTTCCAGACCTGCCACTTCCTCACTCTCTGCAGCACAAATGACATTGTATTTAACCCAGAGAAATTTATATTTGCACGAGGTACTGTGGAATTTGCAAGGTTCGAGGTCACCCCAGAGTCGGTCAGACCATGCCTGCAATTACTGGAGAGCATCAAGAGTTTTCCTACACCCCAGCACATAACTGGAATACGCTCATGGTTTGGCCTAGTACAACAAGTGAGTTATGCCTATGCAGTGCGACCGGCAATGGAGATATTCAGGGAACTTTTGAAA